GCGTTGAAAGCCAGAGATTCGATCCGCGGAGAGGAGGTCTTTCAGATGTTTTGCCATTTCGGTCAGCTTATAGGAGCGTACTAAACTAAAGGCAAACCAAGAAAAGGGATTCAAAACAGAGAGGAAGAGAACTTACAAGAGACAGAGAGGATAATGAAGAATGAATGGAAGTTGCAGAGGTAAGTCGGAAGGTAGTCCAAAAACTCTTAAGCATCCAAAAATGTGTGTTTGAAAAGACGACAAGATTTTAAATCATAATAAATGGAAGCGTACGAAGGGGTGGAAAGTTGAAATGATAACTGAGAGGCGTGTGCTCTGACATCCGCGTTGGAATGAGGTTAGCCGCCGAATTTCGGCTCTGACTTTTCGAGATCGAAACCAAACACTCCAGCTAACTGTCGTTAGAGGGGTGCTTGGGGGGCAATTGTGGGGGCCGAATATTAGGAGTTGTAAAGAGGCCGAATAATTGGATCCGGAGAGTCGAAATATATATATATATCGCATTCGGCCCCGCCTTGCACATTTAAATCCTCGGTTGAGTAAGGTGCCGAGTGAGAAGTGGTTTTGTAACAAAAGGAGTCGAGTAAATAGTTATACGGCGAATTAAGAGTGGGCCCAGCCCCGAGCCCCAAGAAAGAAAAGATATAAATAGAAGAACATCAGCTAGAAAGAGGTATGTGAGAATTAGTACGCTTAACTTAAAATACAAGTAACTAAGAGAGTATACACTGACTTGTCCGTCGGAATGCTAATTCCGGAACCCCTGACCGGAGTGTTAGTTTCTTTTCAGGTCGTCCAGGTCATCAGCTGAGGATCTCGAGCGTCCCAGTGGATCAAAAGAGTATTTTCATACCACTTCCCCACAAGTTCACATACAAGAATTGAAAAATAATTCTAAGTTTAAAAGTCTATGGATGCAAGAATCGAAAAATAGCCAATGAAATAAATAGGTTAAAATAGTTAGGCATAGTTTGGGAAGTTGGTTTTGGTGGGTTAGGGGCTAAAATAGTCACAAAAAACAAAATAGGCTATTTTAGCCACAAAAAACAAAACATCAAATCCAAAAAAAGTTAACCATCATTCCAAACACAATTTTTTTAGCCATGTTAAAATAGCCAAATAACCAAAAAGCTAATTAAAATAACCAAGTTTCCAAACAGAGTCATCAATCAATCACTTTTTTACTCTCCTCTTTCATTTTCTCAAATCTTACATATCAATTAATCATTTTTTTTTCTCACACTCATCTATTTAACTACAAAAAAAAAAAAAAAAAAACTACAAATTGTCCCAAATTACAAAACCACAAAACTAGAAAACTATTTTTAAGATATACAACTAAATAAATTTTCAAATTTTGAAAACTCTTTTCAAATTTTCAAAACTCTTTTCAAAAACCTATCTTTCTAAATTAATTTTAAAATCATACCAAACGGAACTAAACTTTGGCCATATCAAGTTGAATAAATTTAGGAATAATATTGTAAGAATGGTTAGCATTATGCATTTCAATTTTACCTCTTCTCATTAAAATATGAATTACATATTTGTACATAAAATTATTAAAATTTTGAGTTTTGTAGAAATTTTAGAAATAACGGTAGAGGTAGTAGAGGGCGAGGAGACATTACGGTTAGGAAAGGAGAATTATGGGCTTTGTTTGAGACTCCCAGTCTCCAACCACCCCCATACACACGTGGAGGTTGGTTATTGAATAATATAAAAAAAAATTGACCAATCACAGTCCACTGGGGGCCTAGGGGTCACCCCAGTGGGGGTCCGAACCATTTTCCGGGGAATTATGGTTAAAATTTGGACTCTAAATGGAGGGCTGATTTGATTTTTTTTTTTTTGAAATAAATTTTTTTGGTACATACAAAAATGCTTGGGAGTTCTAATTAGAATCATCACTAATGATATGGCAATAGGTCCCACCCACTGCCACAGTATATGTTGTGTTTTTTTTTTCTCTCTCAATTTTCACTTCACTAGTGGTGAATTTAGAGCTCCTTATTTAGAGCTCTAAATCCTTGCTGTATATTACTACAAGTTTATAATAAGGGTGTTGTTGTCAGTATTATTTTTTTGGCAACACGGTGTTACACACCCTTTAAAGGAATGTATTTATTACGTGTTTTTATTATAAATATTATATATGTATTTTTTATAAGAGTTACGATAATTATAGTTTAGAAATAAAAATATACATTTTGTGATAATATTTTGTATTTTTGTGATAATATTATATATTTTTTATCTAAATATTTTCTAACTACAAAATGTGTAACAATAACATAAAATATGTAACATTATTATAAAAATACATAATTTTATTTCTTAACCACAAATTATTATAACTTCTACTAAGAGAATATGTAACATTGTCACAAAAATATGTAATATATACTATAAAAACACATAATAAAATGCATATGATACACTCATAGAATTTTCCTATTTTTTATTTCCACGGTTCCAAATTATTTGTCCGATATAAAAAGTAAGAACTTCGAAATAATCTATTTTTTTGTCTTAAAAAGTATAATTTTTTTTTTACAAATTAAAAGTATTAAAAGAGGTTTTTTAGTAATAAAAAAAATTAAAAAATTCAATTCCAGAAGTACAAGAGAAAGACCAAAAATTCCAGAAGAAGAAGAGAAAGACCAAAAAAAAAAAAAAAAAAAAGGGCTTAATTAAGCTCTTCACTTTTATAGTTTGATTGAAATTTTACTTTGATCGCTATAATTTCAAATTAAATAGTTTAACTTTACATTTTGAATTTAATTTTAGTTTGGTCCTTTCATTCAAGTTAAATGTTAAAGTTAATGGTTTTGGGATACTTGTTAGTTTTCTAAGGTGTACCCACAGAAAAAGTCAACAAAAATTTGGATAAAAAGATCAAATTGAAGATGAATTTAAAATGTGGAAATTAAACTGTTCAATTTAAAATTAAAAGATCAAAATGAAATTTATTTCACAGAATTAAAAGTATAATTAACCCAAAATATATACAATCAAGACATTTTTTTTTAATTAGGAAATTCTAATATACACTCTTTAAAAAGGGTATATCATATGCATTTCTAGTTTTGATATGTTTTTTTTTTCAGTCGTGATAGAGGCCTTGAATTCGGCTCGAATCCCAGCAGCCCCCAAAACGATGTCGTTTTGGGGGTTTTTTTGGTTTTTTTTTCTTTTCTTCTTCCTCGTTCGAACAGAACCAGAGGGGAGGGGAGGGGAGGGGAAGAAGAGAGAGAGGGGGAGGGGAGGGGAAGAAGAGAGAGAGGAAGGGAGAAGAAGAGGGAGCCGCCGGTGGGCCGGACTGGAGGGGACCATAATCACCGGGAGAGGAGGAGGAGGAGGCGGAGGCGACGGTGGTGCAGCTGCTGCGACGATCGGACGGCTGGCGAGCTCGACGAGCTACGACGGCGAGTCTTCGGCGAATCCGGACCCCCTCCCCTCCCCTTTCTCTCTCTCTTCTTCCCCTCCCCTCCCCTCCCCTCTGGTTCTGCGAAGAAGAAGAAGAAGAAGAAGAAGAAGAAGAAAAAAAAAAAAAAATTGATTTCGAGGCAAATTCGAGCCTCAAATTCGAGGCCTGAATCATTTTTCTTTTTTTTATAGTTATGATTAGTTTTCTTATTTTATTATGGCATTATTTTAGTTATAATTCATAAATTTTTTTAATTATACTTCATGTTGTGTTTAGTTATGACTCAAAAAATTAAAATTATGTCATTTTTCTTTTTAGTTATAGTAGTGTTTCCCTTTTTAATTATTAATTTTGTGAGAAATTCTATGGTACAAACTCCATTTGAGATGTACATTATATGTACTTTTAGTTATAACTTTTATAATATTTAGTTATGACCTATTAAATTATTTGATTATAATTTTTTTTTTTTTTTTTTTTTTTTTTTTTTTTTTTAGTTAGGACTATGATAGGAAATTCTATGGTATTTGAGGTGTGCACCATATGCACATTTAGTTGCAACATTTATGGTATTTGGTTATGATGTATTTGGTTATAATTCATATATATTTTTTTAGTTAGGACTCTTATAAGATTGAGTTATGATATTTGTAGTAATCAACTTGACAAATATAGGCCATGTTTGGTTTGAATTTGTAGAGTGATTTTGGGAAAAATTTTCTAAAAAATTTGTTTGATTTGTAAATTTTTCAAAACAATTTCCAAAATTACTTTATCTCTCTTACCTATTAATCAATCACTTTTTCTCTCTCTTCTCTCATTCTTAATCACTTTTTCTCTCATACGCATTTATTCAATTATAACAAAATATCAAATCATTCCAAACTTCAAAACTCCAAAACTACTTTCAAAATACACAACCAAACAAACTAACAAAATTTCTAACCTCTCTCCTCAAATTTTTTTTTTTAAAAAAAAAAAAAACTCATCTTAAAACACAAACCAAACACACCCTCTATGTCCGTACAGATCTTCTCTCTCTCTCTCTCTTTCTCTCTCCTCTCTTCCCCTCTGCGTTTGAGCCGAAAATGGAAGAAAAAAGAAAAAAAAAAATAAATTTCTCAAAACGACGTCGTTTTGGGAATTAAGGGGATTAGGGGAGGCCAAATTCGAGCTCTCAAACATTATTCAATTTCTAAACTCTCTCCCCAAAATAATTTTTAAAAACTACTCTCCTAAAACCAAACCAAACATACCCAATAATTTACATAATAACATTGAGTAATGGTACAGTATATACCCTCTTCAAAAGTTGTATATCACATGCACCATTTATTAAACAATTTTGTAGCATATGTTATCCATTTTTATGATATATGTTATCCATTTTTATGATAAACATTATATATATATATTGGCAGAATTATAATAATTTATGCTTTAGAATTATATTATACATTTTTTAGGATCCAAAATAGTACTGCATACAGTGAAACATTTCTCCTACAAAACCCTATTAATAAAAACCTCGAACAATTCACCGCCTAACCCTCACTCTTCTTCTCTCGAAACCCTAGTTCCCCTTTCACTCTAAACCCCTCTCTCTCTCTCTCTCTCTCTCTCTCTCTCTCAAGCGAAGCAGCGTAAGACCTTTGTTTTGTTCTCATATATCTTTTTGTCGCTATATGTGTCTGTAGATGTATGTATTTATGTGCCTAATGGTTCATATGTTTTTGTAGTTATGTGAGTTAAACTTTGTAAGATCTTGTTCATTGCGAGTAGATCTAATGTATATTTTAGTGTTTTATCTGAATATGATATCTTTCCCAAGGCTTTCTCATGGAATAATTATTAAAATGATTTGGGGATCCGGATCATCAATACTATTTTCCGAAACCCTAGTTCCCCTTTCACTCTAAACCCCTCTCTCTCTCTCAAGCGAAGCAGCGTAAGACCTTTGTTTTGTTCTCATATATCTTTTTGTCGCTATATGTGTCTGTACATGTATGTATTTATGTGCCTAATGGTTCATATGTTTTTGTAGTTATGTGAGTTAAACTTTGTAAGATCTTGTTCATTGCGAGTAGATCTAATGTATATTTTAGTGTTTTATCTGAATATGATATCTTTCCCAAGGCTTTCTCATGGAATAATTATTAAAATGATTTGGGGATCCGGATCATCAATACTATTTTCTCATTTTAGAATCTTTTAAAGATGGGTTTACCATAAATAATTTTTATAGTCTCAGTTGTTTAGGTTTTTTTTGGATAATGAATTTGGATATAGATTTGGATGAATTTACCATAACTAAGTTTGACCCACATTTTCTATTTTTGAATCCTTATCTAAATAAGCATTCGTGGATGTTGGTCATATTTGGTGACTTGGTGGGAGGGACCACATGTACCTAATAATTGCTTGGGCGATCCTCTTTCTGATATCTGTTGTCACTTTACAGAAAAGAAGTTTTTGTACCCATTAGGTATTTATGCCTTTTTGTTTAATAAAATATAGCTGAGTAGATATTTGAGAATGTGTTTGAAGGGGTTTCAATGTTTTGAAAGTTAGATCTCTATTGGGTCAAGTTCAATGTTTTAAGATCATATATTTTTATTTATTGTTTGTAAGGAAATTAATTATACTTTGTATTTTGAAGAAAATACAATGAATTTAATAAATAGTATATATTCATTTGGACAACTTTGGCTTCTTTTTGTTTTTTTAATAGCTTTTTGGCTTTTTTGGGTTACATTACCTCTCTATTTTTTTTACATATTTTTCCAAAAAAAAGCGCCAAAAAGCCAGCTTTTAACCTACTTCCCAAGTTGAGACCACCATTTTGTGTGGTTCAAGTTCAATCCCCTTAAATGCTCTGTACATTTTTTAATAGAAAACATTTTCTACAAAATCTTTTTTTTTTAACAATGTTTTCTATGGACGGTGATGTTATTGGTAAAACGTTAAATTTGAAAACATTTTTTGTGCAGAAAATATTTTTCAGCAAAACTAACATAGCGAAAATATGCCCATTTGAAAACGGTCATTGATGGGGTGTGCAACATGGTTCTCTCTTTAGGCTTTATCCAACTCCACGCTAATAAACTTTATGTTTCAATTCCCAGTCTCTATAAAGGGTTGGTCCTACAATATTGATGTAGTTGGTTTGTGGAGTCAATTGCAGGGTTATAAGTTTCAGAATTGGATTTCTTTCAACTGTGATGAAACAAATAAATGGATTAAAAATGAAAGGTAGATGTGGGTTGTTCTTGAGTCTCAGATGGTATTTGTTGATGAATTTCCTTGAAACAACTCTATTCAAATTTTCTTTACCAATTTCAAGGTCTACCATTCTGTAGATTGATCCCAAGTTGAAATTTTTTTTGCTCAAGATTTGTTTGAACAGAACAACATGTTGCTGTTCTATTTTATGTGGAATATCCCAATCATCATTATTGACCAAAGGCTTACCCGTGCATTTAATTGCAAATTGTATCATATTCTCAACACTTAAAATACTATAATTCATGAATTTTTCGTGTTTGAATAGAAGATTGTGTTCTTAGAAGCCAAGAGTATTAGCATTACTTGCTAACTTGTTACTATTGAAATGTATGCTGCCTGTAAATCAAAACTTGTCTACATATGCTTATCGTTTTGCCCTGTTGATAACATTAGCATCTTATTAATCATTATTGTTGCACCAATTGTGGTAAATGAGTCACTTTAAGTAGATGTGTTCCAAATTTATCTTATATATGTTCATGGATATCTGATGGATTGAAAATCTTCTTTATTTCCTTAAAATATCTGATTCACCAAAACATGAAAACCAATCGGTCTTGAATATTTTTTCATCTTTCATTCACTGTGCCGTTTGGTAACACTTACGTTTTCAGTTTTCTGTTTATATTTACAAAAATTTAAAAAACTCAAATAAAAATTTGTTTGGTAAATTTTTTGATTTGTAAATCAGTGGTCTCAGTTTATAAATTTGGCCAAAAAATAAAAACACAAAAAATGTGTTTTCATTTTGAGTTTTCAGTTTTTTTTTTTTTACCACCCAATACTAGTCACCACCAGCTACTGTATAGACTGAATTTCAATTATATATAAACATATAATAATTTGTTTTGACATTTTGATTTAGGACTATTAATCCAATGGATAATTAATCCAACAAATTTGTAGGATTATTAGTAATGGGGTAGGGGTGGGATAGTTAATACCACACTAATTTAATAGGATTATTAATACCTCACTATTAGTATTGTGAATCAAACATGACCCAAGAGTATTAGCATTACTTGCTAACTTGTTACTATTGAAATGTATGCTGCCTGTAAATCAAAACTTGTCTACATATGCTTATTGTCTTGCCCTGTTGATAACATTAGCATCTTATTAATCATTATTGTTGCACCAATTGTGGTAAATGAGTCACTTTAAGTAGATGTGTTCCAAATTTATCTTATATATGTTCATGGATATCTGATGGATTGAAAATCTTCTTTATTTCCTTAAAATATCTGATTCACCAAAACATGAAAACCAATCGGTCTTGAATATTTTTTCATCTTTCATTCACTTTGTAAGCGGAAGCAGCATTTCAACTTGGTACTGTTAATTGTCTAGTTTAAAACTGAAGTAGCTTATAAAGTTGTGTGTTTACGGGACAGTAAGACACAGTAATTCTGAAATATGGTAACAACATTTGATCCTTTGATTACTTGTCCTAGTGCCTAAGCTCGACAATATTTAAATGTTGTGCCACATCAATTAGTAGTTAAAGGCATAGCATAATATCTTTGCAGTCATTAAATGCTGTTATTAGGCAAGGAGTGAAGAAATTCCAACTTTGTGATAAAAAATCTTCGATGGACTAGGTTTTTAGCATTATTTCAGATTTTTGTCAATATGTGATGGAATGTTTTCACTGGTAGCTATCCTGTTTCATTAACTACTTAGATGACCATGCCATATCACCATGATTTGGGAGTAATTTGATTGTGCTGTTTGTAAAGTTGGAACAAAAACCTTGTACTGAATTTATGGAAGGACAAAACTTACACTACTTACCTTCTTTCATGATGTGTTTTGGCTTCATCAATCATTCTTCGCATGCCACTATAAATTAGTGGTCTCTACATGATTCCATCAACCATATAGAGATATCTGGGAGACATGCTGGAAAACCTCTTCTATCCTAATTCAGAAGTTCTGAATTAGAGTTAAGCATGTTCAGGCAAAGATATGTTACTTGCATGCTTCCGTATTTTATTTATATTTGATCTGTTCGTGTTCTGTTTATTTATTTATTTATTTTTCCTGGATTGACTGATGTACTTATTCACTTGTCCATGTTGTGGCTTGCATCTAAGGGGATAGATTGCTTGTTGTATGAACACTGATATTCTCACTGTTTTGATGCCTAGAGTGGACAATGGTTGATATGGTTGAATTATATACCTGCCCTAATTTATTTGTTGAGACCTCAGTTCCTTTTGTTTATCATACTATTGTCCTGTCACATCACTTGAGCATACTGTAAAGTGTTATGGTTGAAAGTAAAAGTCATTATCCTAATCAAATTACTTCTTGTCTTTGTGATTTTGGTTGCACACTTAAATCTTCTCTTTGCTATTTTAGTTCCACACTTCAACCTTGAATTTATCTACTTTTTCTTTTGACTCTCCTGGATGAGCTTAGTATGTTACTTTATGTGATGAAGTTCTTAAATGTGATTGGTTTCGTGACAGTGCATTTCCAATGGCAAAAGGGTCGGACAAAGGGTCACGACAGGTAATCTCCCATGTCTATTCTGGAAAAGCATCTGAAGTTTCGAGGACTAGTTGCAAGGCTACCACAGCCTTCAAAAGGCCATCTGAGCAATCGCAGGCCTATGAGAGAACTACTAGGGTCAAGCACGAGGATAAGCAGAGCGGCAATTATGAACGCTATACCAGAAAGGAGAAAGCCTCAAGCGGTGAGCGACATGTGGAGAAAGGAAGTGGACGAGTTGGTGTGAAGGATGAGTTCACAAAGCAATCAACCATCAAAATTGGTAACAAAAGTGGCTACACTGAATACCACACTGAAGAGAGGGTTCGAAATGTCAACTTTGGCACTGGCAGTGGTGGCAGCGACGGAAATGGTCCAAACAATTGCTTGACATACCATGACAATAGCAGTTATGGTAACAATAATAGCAGTGGCGGTTACGGCAACAATGGTGGTTACTATGGCTACAACTATGATGATGATAACTCTGGCCCTGGCTATGATGACTACAGTGATGACGATTACTAGGATCAGTCCCTTCATCGTGAGATGATGCAGTCGTCATTCTGATCAGTAATATGGAGTTTCCTAAGTTCTTTATGCTTTCTTATGCTTGCTTTTAGTATGGTAGTTCCTAGTACATATTTTGCTTTTTTTCTTTTTAGTTGTAAGTTGACTGACTGCCCTGCTTGATCTGATTAGCGGAAATGTGCAGTTCTATGCACTTGGTAAGAATTTGGTGGCTGTTTATAATATTAACCTCTTGGACGTTGTTTATATGCCTTTCAATCATGGTTAGATCATATATTTAGATTTGGGAAGTGGAAAGTAAAACTAAATAGAAAAGATTAAGCGAAAGAAAAAAATTTATTTCTTTTATTTCCATATCATTTATTGTTTTTTTTCTCCTCTTAATAAATCTAACACCCAAACATACATATGACTAGAAGTTTTTTTTCCTCCTAGGATAAAATGTGGTGATGGAAAACTTGCAATGTGGCTTGATTGATTTTTTATTTCTTTGGTTATTTGGTTATTAGTTCTTATTGATGACTTGGTGCATTTGCATGTGTTGCGAATAAAAGAACTCTATAAATATATAAAGTTCATACAAAAAATTATACAAAAATGTAGTAATGTCATTACCGTAAATAAATTAATTTGAAATGATACTTTGATTTGAAATGAAATATGCATAATGATTAATTCATTATGTATGAATTTTTTATTTGTATAATATTACTAGGAATAAAATTTTCTAGTCGTTAAAACATGCCATTCTTCCTTCTTTTTTTTTTATGAATTGTTTTATTTATGTATTTATTTACTTTCAGGGTGAGTTTAATAATGGCCTTTATTTTATTTTTTTTAAAGTCAATGGAATTCAAATCTTGAGAGCTTTAATTAACCTTGCAGAGGGTCGGAGGGGAGTTCAATATGTTCCTTATTTTATATTTTTGAAATTGGATAAAATTCAAAAATTTAAATCTAATTTTTTTTTAAAAATTCACAAATAAATAAATAATCAATCCCAAACACCCTTCATTGAATGTCTGCTAATGGTGCATTTCTTTCCACACTAATCTTTTTTCCTTTTTTCTCAGGAAGATACTGGTTGGTGTTGAAAAACCCATCAATCCAACACTATTTGAATTGGAAAAAAAATTATAATCCTTATCCATGCAATAAGAGTATTTCTAATATAAATGTTAAAATTTTGTATATTTGCGTTATACAACAAAAAATTATAAAAGTGAAGGGCAATTTTGTATTTTAAGATTTGTTAATTCAGTGAGTAAGTGGTGTTATAATAGAGATGTTAAGGTATGTGTTACGTAAAAATAGGATAAATTATAAAAATAACTGCTGCATATATATATGAAATTTTAAAAATTTAATAATGTGTCCAGCAGTTTTTTTGTTATGATTTATGGGATATAAATAATTAAAAAAAATTGATTATTAAAAAGTAAGAAAATGGATATTTCTAGCTTATGTTTTTTGATTTTTAATTTTTAATTTGTAAAAAAGTGCACCCGAGTCAAGCTGCCATTTGGTAACTAGCTAGTAATGCAAGAGAAGAGAAGTAAATATGGAAAATTGGGTTACTTGGAAAGCTATGAGTTATTTTTATTTTTATTTTATTTTTATTATTATTTTGCATTCAGAGAAAACAAAGGTGGATCCCCTCCAGTCTAATATCTGGATTGAAGGGGTTGTTTGACCCGTGGTGTCCATTATATGTCCCGTTTTAATGATTCGAATTATTCATTTTATTAGATACTTCATATATTTCGTCTACAAAAAAATTAGGTTGAGATTCGATAACTATAACTTATTCAATTTATTGTATTTTTTACTAAACAAATAGACAATAATTGTATTTTTTAAAACTATAAATACATGTTTTTATGATAAAAACAATAAATTGAATAAATTGCAGTTATCGGATCGATTTAATTTTTTGTATGAATGAAATATATAAAATGTTTAACAAAATGAACGGTTCGGATCATTAAATCGACACCCGTGATGGGCCTCACGAGCCCAAATAATCCCCTCCAATTCAGATTTTCAACCGGAAGAAATCCTTTTCAAAAAAAAAAAGTTCATCAACCTTTTGACTTAAATAATGTAACTATTTTTGGATAGTTTATGCTTTGGAATGAACAATTATTTATTAAATATAATAATGGCACAAAATCTGCAGTAGACAATACAAAGCTTGTAATAGGAAAAGAGGTAGTTCATTTCTCTTTCATATCAAATTCATATTTCAAACAAAACATGATGAGCTTCCCTCAACGCATTAATTGGATTGGGGGATCCAAGAATTGGCGCCGATAGCCCTCTATAATTGAATTGGAGGGGGAATTCTATTCTAGTTGCACTTCAAAAATTATTAAGTATGCCTAATTTTTTAGTAGATCTTATTAAATTATTTAGGATTATAATGTATTTTCAATACATTATATATATAACTCGAATAGATGTCATTTTCACAACTGGCGAGAAGATTTCATCAAAATCAATACTTTTCTTCTGCCCAAAACCTTTGACAACCAATCGAGCCTTATACTTGACTAGCTTTCCGCTGCCATCTTTCTTCAACTTGAACACCCATTTGTTCTGCAATGCTTTCCGACCCTGGGGAAGTTTCACCAAATCATAAGTCTGATTCTTCTGCAAGGATTGCATCTCTTCTTGCATAGCTTGCTGCCAGCTACTCTTCTCCTTATGATTTTGAGCTTCTTGAAAACTTTCTGGCTCCCCCTCATCGGTAAGCAAAATATACTCAGAAGCAGGGTATTTGGTTGACGGCTTAAATTCTCTTGTTGATCTTCGTAACTGTGGACCAACAGTCTCTGGTAGAGGGGGTTGTGGCTCCCCCTACTCAACACCCTCTGCTTCTAGAAATCTATCCTGCAACTCTACATTATTGACTGCATGCTGCAGTAACTCTTCTTCATCAGTGGCATGCTGTGATGGTGCAGGGTTTGGAATAATTTCTGAAACATCATCAACTTTGGGTTTGGCTGGTTGCCCAAAGTCTTTAAAGGTCTGGCCTTCGTGAAACACCACATCTCGGCTTTGAATGACCTTTTTGTGTTTCGGATTCCACAATCTGTATCCAAATTCTTCATCTCCATAGCCAATAAAGATGCATGGAGTGGCTTTGTCATCCATCTTCTGTCTGTGCTCCTTGGATATATGTGCAAATGCTTTGCACCCAAACACTTTCAAGTGAGAGTAAGAGATCTCCCTTCCAGACCATACTTCCTCTGGAATCTGAAAATTCAGTGGAACTGATGGCGATCTGTTGATCAAATAGCAAGCAACAAGAACAGTTTCTGCCCAAAATGGTTTTGGTAGCTTTGCCATTTTGAGCATGCATCTGACCTTCTCCACAATGGTTCGGTTCATTCTCTCGGCTACACCATTGTGTTGTGGGGTTCCAGGAACAGTCTTCTCATGCCGGATGCCGTGAGTAGCACAGTAGGCTTTAAATTCCTTTGACGTGTACTCGCCTCCATTGTCTGTTCGGAGACATTTCAGCTTCTTTCCAGTCTCCCTTTCCACCATAGCATGGAATGTCTGAAAATGCTGGAACACCTCAGCTTTGGTCTTTAAGACATAAACCCATACCTTCCGTGATGCATCATCAATGAACGTCAGAAAGTATTTTCTACCACCCAAAGATTCTACTTCAATGGGACCGCAAACATCAGAGTATACTCTGCTCAACAACTCTGATTGTCTTCTGGATGATGAATGGAAAACGACTCTATGATGCTTCCCAAACAAGCAGTTGTCTCAAGGATTTAATTTTGCATCTTTGGCAAAGGGAATAAGTGACTTCTTTGCCAAAATTTGTAACCTTTTCTCGCTCATGTGACCCAGCCTTTTGTGCCACAAATTTGGTGACGTCTCATCTTCTGCTGCGTTGAGGCTATTTGAATTCACCTCCACATGAGTCTTGTATAGTGTGCCAATTGCCTGTCCTTTGGCTACCACGAGAGATCCCTTTTTCAACTTCCATATGCCTTTGCCAAAGTAGTTCTCATAGCCTTGTCGATCTAAGGCTATCCCTGAAATAAGATTCAGGCGTAAATCGAGAACATGCCTGACATCTTTCAACACCATCGTGCACCTAACTTTGGTTTGGATATGAACATCACCAATTCCTACAATTTTTGAAAAACTGGAGTTACCCATTTTCACTGTACCAAAATCTCCAGCTTGGTACCTACTGAAGAACTCCTTCTGGGATGTAGCGTGGTAGGAAGCTGCTGTATCTACCACCCACTCGGTGTCGTTGTCTGACATATGGAGGCATTCTTCTTCTTCAACAGAGAGTAATGCAATATCCTCTGAGATAGTAACTGCAGTGGTCCCATCTTCGGTCTTTGGCTGTCTATTGCCTTGTTGTTGTTCTCCCTTCAAGGCATAGCAATACTTCTTTATGTGACCCTCCTGGCCACAATGGTAACATTTGAACTTTGGCCGGCTCGTACCTTCTCTGGATTTCCCTCTGTCTTGAGATCTTCCTCTGCTGTGTCATCTACTTTTGCTTCTTCTCCTGCCCCTGCCTCTATCTCTGCTTTTATTTTCTGTGATGAGGGCATGAGATTGATCTCCACCCGTTTCTTTCTTTCTTTCTTGCCTCTTCACTAAATAAAGCATCTGTAACCATGTTCATGGTCAGTTTCCCTTCTGGGACAGAGTTGCTGAGGGACACCACCAATGTCTCCCAACTGTCTGGCAAAGAACTGAGCAGCAATAGGGCCTGCATCTCATCATCTAACTCTATTTTGACAGTTGTTAGTTGGTTCACCAAATTTTGAAACTCACTGGTGTGTTCAGCAACAGAGATACCGCCTTTCAACTTCAAATTCACAAGTCTTCTCATCAGGAGGGCTTTGTTCCGAGCAGTCTTCGACTGGTACATGCCTTCTAACTTTGTCCAGAGAGCATAGGCATCAGTCTCGTCTCCTGGGCGACATGGTGGAAGACACTGTGATCAATCCATTGTCTGATCTGGCCAATGGTCTTTCGGTTCTTCCGCTTCCAGTCTTCGTTTTTTTCCGTTGGTGGTTTAACTCCATTAAGCTCAATGGGGTCAAATAAATCTCGGCAATACAAGATATCTTCCATTCTGGGCTTCCAAATGGCATAATTGGAAGTATTTAACATTATCATGGAACCTGAAGTCGATGTTAATTCCTCCATCATACAAAAATGATCTCTGGCTGAAAAACAGGT